AGGCTCAGGTGGCCGGGCAGGTGACAACTGCTTGCCGAGAGGCGTTTTCACCGAGGTTTGAGTCAGTAGCCTTGCGCTTGGGGACCCATTAGCAGGCTTAAAGCAGCTAATTATCACCTCCCTCGTTTGCAAGATGCACGGGTGTGTTTGCCCCCGCTGGTCCCTTTGTTTCTCCCGCCCCGCAAGCGCGTCTCGGAGGCCTCTCTGTCCCGCATTTCTCATCCCGATTTGCTGCCGACTTCCATGCCCCTCCTATTCCCCGGGCACTTCTAATCTACTTATTTTTCCGAACGTCTTGACTTCTCCAGCACGCAACAACTCAGGGCTTCAGTTTCTTTTAAGTCTACAGAGCTCTTACGCGCAACTTAGTGGCCATTAACTCGTGTTTGGCGGGGTCGTTTCGGGGTTGGTTTGCTTTGTTTTCACTGGGATCACTGTTAATTCCGAGTTTTCGTCACTCCCCTTTTTCTCCCTGTATCCGCTCTCTCCTGGCTCGTTCCCCTGTCAGTATTAAGCTCACCCCCGTGCCCACCTTTCCCGTTTCTGCCTGCCAGTCGGTCTTCTTGCTGGGTGCCTCAGGCAGCTCCAGCCACCCCATGCTGTCCCCACTAAATACCTTTCCTTCAACATGAGACCTCAGATCCAGATTTTGACTCAACACTTCCTTTCTCCCTGCCTGCCTCTCCTGTTGTGGTCCTCCTCCCTCTGCGTTGAAAAGCAGTCGGCCTGTCAGCTCTCTGGCAGGATCACCCAGAGCACATCACACAGAAACGTGTCCAGGCGGGGTTTGAATGTCTCCAGAGAAGGAGACTCCACAACCTCTCTGGGCAGCCTGTTCCAGGGCTCTGTCACTCTCACAGGGAAGAAGTTTTTTCTGAGGTTTACGCGGAACCTCCTATGTTGCAGTTCGTACCCATTGCCCCCTGTCCTATCACTTGGACATCACTGAAAAAAGCCTGGCTCCATCGTCCTGACACTCACCCTTTACATATTTGTAAACATTGATGAGGATCCCTCAGTCTCCTCCTTCCCAAGGTAGAGACCCAGCTCCCTGTCTGATGACACCACACAGAACCACCTGCATGCAAGCCACTGCAGCTTCTTCGCCACAACACCGGTGCCAAACCAGCAAAAAACTCTTCAGATTAGCAGCACAAAAAGTTACTTCTTACACAGTTACGTTGTCTCACAGTAGCAGACACCTAACCCTTTTGTAGCCTGATGCTCTACGGGCCAATTTCCTGCAAGCTGCCCTCCGTGCTACTTGCACACAAAGGTAAAACCTTCAGAAAAGAATAATCTTGCTGCTTTTGGATTTGATGCTGGAACACAAATCAGGACCAAAATACTCACTGCAGTAGCCACAAAGCAAGTTCTAGACTCGCTTCTCCTCAAATGCTAAGTAACAATTTATAAAATTGCAGAACTGCAGAACTTTACCCCATCAATGTCAAGCGGGAACAAACGGCAGATTTCCAACGGTTTAAACCAGTTAAATTAATTTTCTTGGAGGTGGTGAAGCTTACCTTCCTGACATAAAGATCAGGTTTCTACAATGTTAGGCAAGAGCTCATCAGATCACCAACATATTAGACAGGAAAAAAAAACAACACACCCTTTCTTCCTATGCAGAAATTAATTGCCACTGCAGGCAAAAAAATTGTTTAAAAAATGAAGACTAAAGTAGACTCTACGTCTGTAATTGATAGACGAAGATAAAAGTTTGAAAGTAGTAGAAATTGTATCTGCATTGGCAGATACATAAGTCTTTATTTCACGGCATTGAATCATTCCTGTTTTAGCAATACATGAACTTTTGTATTTTTTCCTAAATGGGAAAGTGTTGAGCACTGCAAAAATTGTGTATATTAATATTTTGCTATGCAGAAACTGCCAATCTGAAGGGACTCCCTTAGAAGTCACTACTCTGTTTAATCATATAGTTACATTTACCTTCCATACCAGATTAAATAAGCTCATATTTTAGTTTTCAAGCAATGCTCTTGGAATCTCTTGGGGACACTCTAATTTCCTCAGCTTTTGGAAACAGTCTTTTGAATCTGACATTTCTCAGGACTCAGAAGCTTTGCATTTTATATTAAAATCGGTGAAGAGCAGCTGAAAAGACTTTTTTTCTTAATGAAAAACAACTCAAGATGACTCAGATTCATACAAAATAGGGTGTTCTTCAAAAGTGGCTAATGTGACTAATGCATTGTTGAAAGGTAAAAGTTAAAGGAGATGCTGCTGCCTGAGCATTCACAGACCATTCAAGGAGATGCAGATGCACCACCTGAGGCTTCAACTGCCAGAACTGGAGTCTCTGCAGCCAACAACTCCAACAAGCCGAGGGGTGTCCCTTTCAACTCCTTGCTCACACATTGACTCACTCTTGGACTCTTCCTCCTCCTACAGCGTTGACCGTAGTTTTCCTGGGACAGTCTCAGGTAACAAATCTTATATAAAAACATATTCAGATGGTACAGCTCCGTCTCTCCAGGGAGAGACCCCAAGCAAAGGAATCCTTGGGCATTTACACCCTTATGATCTATGCACCTGCCCTTCACAAGCTCTTTACATGCCTCTTTAGTTCACTAGTGATTTTTGCTCTGGAATCTTCTAATGTGTTATTGGATTCTTTCTCTGTCCAAGCCAGGCCGTTAACTATCCCTGTTGCAGCTTCTGTTGTTGGCTGTAGCCTCCTCATCTTCTGGTTTGTGCTCCTTCCCACAGCCTAGACTTAGGATAAACATTAGTTAGGAGCAACTAAAACACCAGTGTGCCACCAGCACACAAAATGAACACTATCCCAAGCCCAAAGCAGAACTAGGTGACAGTCTTCCACAGCATGTGGCCTAAGGCTTCAGCAAATCTAGCTACTCATGCTAATGCTAAATGATTGAGCGATTAATTGTATTTAAAACTTACTTATTAAAGCTAAAAGACTAGTATTTCTTAACAGTAAAGAAAACCAAGTAAAATTTGGTTTAAAGAGTGAAAAATAAAATTGAACAAGTTATATTTTGTGTGTGATTTAGCTTACTTGAAGATGTTAAATAAATGTAAGATTGAAAACAAACAATCTGTACAGACACAACAGTAATACAAAAAAGTGCATTTTGCAATCCAGACATTGTACTTGAAAGAAGGTAACACACTATACTGATGATATTCCACTTTAAGGTTGATATGAGCATTTTTTAGCAATCAGCTTAATTCTGAATGGCAGAATCTGAAGAGCTTCAGCCAGACCTGCCACCTGATTATCAATTAAGAGTTCAGTACACTGATATCTGCAAAGTTGTTACAAGCCAGGAATGAAGCTCAGAGGTGAAAAACCGTTCTCCCTGTGAGGATCTGTATTTCCTGAGCTTGCCTGTTTGAAGCAGCCATTCCAACTGACTTCCTGCAGGTGTGGGCTAGGTTACATTGCAAAAAAGCACACCAATATCCTGCCTGCAAGTGCAGCAGTTGCTCCTTGCTCTGCCAAGGCCAGACCTGTGCTGAAGCCTCTCCTTTTTCCTGAAGGTCAAACAAAAAAAATAATCAAAAAACATATATCCTGAATATATGCAGGTTTTAGACCAAAATATTCCTTAAATTGTGAGGAATTGTCTAATACAGCATGTACACGAGATGTATTTTTCAGTGTGGGGGAAATAAAATTTTTTTGTTGAGCTATAAGCATGCAGCAGCAATAGTGTCTAAAGTAATTTTTGAGAATCAAATTAAAAAAAATATGCATGTGTTATTATGGGCAGAAAAACTCACTTTATTTATTCAGTATCTTGTAGGCTGTCATGGTGCCCAAACCTACCAGATTTTGCAGATATGGTGTTAAATCTCTAAGATTCCTTCCATATTATCACTTAATTTGTATTTCTTCATTAGCGAAGACATTTTTCAACATGTTCAATTTTTTGGCTACTCATTAGACAACAGCAGAGAGGAAGCCCTGTTCACTGTTGCATGTTTGATGAGGGCAAAAATGCCATCAGAATGCAACGTAATGAAATCTTCCAATTTTGTGTGTACTCGAATGAAGAACTTCTTTGGCTTGGCACAAGAAATGTAAAATAACTGATTAATGCAGATGGAGTAAAAATACAGCTAAAAGCCAATTGTACAGGTCAGGTCACAGACTAGAAATGAAGTTTTGACACTTATCTGAGGGGGTGTAAAACATGGACTTTTCTGTCTCTTCCAAAATTTCAGTCCTTACCTTGAAGGATAACAGTATCAGGTGATACTTTCTCCACACATCTTGGAAAATATTAGCCCAAAGTGGTATTTCTGCAACAGGAAAACAACTTTGGAACAAAAAGTGATGGGGCACCTTAAGTGCTCTAGCAGCACTTGCAATCACAGAGTCTGTCATGACGTTCTCTAAGCCAAAGCAATTAGCTGTACTTTGAATTCAATATGAGTGCTTTCCTGAGTGAGGACCAATTGCAGCTCTGTGGTTAACATAAGCTGCTTTTAACTTCAGAAATAACTGTCTTTGGCGTAATTTTGCTCCTATTGGGGAACTTCCAACTAGAATAAAAACCCCAACGATTTAATGTGTTTTTAGGAACATAAATATTTAGATAAACTATATTTTTAACTCAAGCTACTAATACATTTTTCAGTAGATTTTTTTGATGTCATATAATCTGAGGCCCTTAGATGAAAAAAATCGGAGTGAAAGAAGGGTAAAGACTCCAATCTAAACATTTCCAGTTGCTACATCCAGATGAAACAGTCATACTAAAGCTGGAGAGGGGGTTTCCAGACCGAACACGACTGAGAAAGGTTGGGCAGAGGAGCCGCAGCACAGCTCCCCGCAGTGACGAGGCAGCAGAACTGGCGGCAGCAGGCACAGAACACGCAGCCTGTCAGGCCCAGGGGTGCTGCGGATCCAGGGATGGTGCAGGCACCTCACACAGCTCGAGCAGTTGTGCAAGCTCGTGTATGTAACCTTCACATGCCGCCACGATGCTATTACTTAGCTTTGATTACAGTTAGACTATGTCATCCCTTCTATGGACCAGGATAGCGGAGTTTCCCACGGAAGACTTTTTTATTTCTGCCCGTTTCCAAATGTGCCCCTTCTGTGCGTTACCCATCGGTACATTATTGCCTCTTAAGTGACCTGCCGATCTTTCGGACCATGTGTTCTCAAATAACTCGGCTCTTTTTTGGACTCTGTACCTTCCAAGCTTAACCCGCTCGTTGGTGGT